GCCTCTCTCATCTTTTTAAATGGGAGAACTTGCACAATTGGTGGCTGACTAAATACTTTTTTGCCCCACTGTATATCCACAGTTAAAATGAATATTTTACCAAGAATTTTATTTTTGTTGCAAGCTGCACCTATAAATCTTGGTAAAACTTTCTTCCAGGAACTAAACAAACTAACATCTAGGTTCATCTGGCAAGGACGAAAAGTGAGGATTAAACTAAAGTCAATGCAAGACAGCAAGGAGAAAGGAGGCTTAGCATTACCAGAATGGGAGTTATATGCACAAGCAATAACACTAACATGGTTGAAGGACTGGATGGAGTTAAAAAATAAAAGAATCGTCACCTTAGAAGGTCATGATCTGCAAGTAGGTTGGCACATGTTCCTATGGGATGGTAAAAATAAAACGCACAAATACTTTCAAAAACATTTAATTAGAAATGCGCTATTGCAAAACTGACTCAAAACTTTAAAAAACCACTATGTGAAAATCCTGAATTGGCTATCCCCGACAGAAAGGATGCACCCAAAGTTTACTTAGAGATGTGAACTTAGAGACATTGCAAGCTGTTTTATTCACCACAAGATTTTCCTCATTTCTTTTAGTTACAGTGTATGTTCCTCTACCAGCTTGTATAAACAATGCATTATAAATGCTAGCTGACTAGATTATGTGGGCTGAAGTAAAATACCAGATTCAATCCTCATTGTGATAGGAGATTTCAGCAGTGCTATCTTAAGCCAAGAACTATCCAAATTTCAGCACATCAACTGTCTCACTAGGGGCAAGAATACTTTAAACCACTGCTACACAACATGAAAATATGCTTAGCAATCTTTATCATGAGCAGCTGTGGGGCACTCTGATCATTGTATGATTTACCTTGTACCTGTTTATATACAAAATCTTAAAACTATAAAACCAACAATTAAATCAGTGAAGTCTTGGCCTGAGGAGGAAAAGCTAAAGCTACAGGCTTGCCTTGACTGCACTGATTGGATTGTTTTTGAAGATATCTCAACAGATTTGGATGAATTCATGGATACCGTAACATTATATGTTAGTTTTGGTGAAGACCTATGTGTGCTGACCAGAAACCTGTGAATATACAGTAACAACTAGCCTTGGTTCACAGCTAAACTCAAGCAGCTACATCATGCCAAAGAGGAAGCCTACAGGAAAGGAGATAGAAAGCTATACAATCCAGCCAGAAATGTATTAACAAGGGAGATAAGAGTAGCAAAAAGAAGCTACTCTGAAAATCTAAGGAATCAATTCTCAACAAATGAGCCAGCAAATATGTGGAAAACTCTTTAAAATATCACTGAAGGAAATCGACAACTGGCAGTTGACCTGAATGTTTTCTATAGGTTTTACTGTAGGTTTGAGAGGAAACCACTATCACCTATCTCCACTATCTCCATCTCAGATACACCAACAACAACCAAGCCTCCTACACATCACTTTGGGGCCCCATCTCTGGTGATTACTGAAAATGATATGCAAGGTCTATTTAACAGACAAAAGCTTGGAAATTTACCAGGTCCAGACAAGATAACTCCTTCTTGCTTGAAAGCTTGTGCTGACTAATTGCTTCCCATCTTCACCCGTATCTTTAATAAATCACTAGAGATGTGCTATGTTCTGTTTTGCTTCAAATGCTCTACTATATCCCAATGCTGAAGAAACCCTCCATCAAGAAACTCAATGACTATAGACTTGTTGCTTTGACATCCATAGTTATGAAAATATTTGAAATGTTAGTGCTGGCCTATCTGAAAACCATCACAGATCTGCTGTTAGACCCGTTACAATTTGCCTACCGAGCAAATAGATCAGCAAGTGATGCTGTTAATATGGCTCTGCACTACATCCTACAACAGTGACTGGACCAAGTGCCCAAAACGTGTGAGTGTGCCTGAACCCCCAAATGCAATGTGTGTGCAGCCTCAGTGCATGCGCATGCACCCCCACATGCACCTTTCCCCCATGCATGCGTGGCAGAGACCCAAAGACCAGCTGGCTAGTGGGAGGCACACATGGATGCGTGGCAGAGCTGAGTTGCGTCAATGGCTCATGTGCCCACAGAGAGGGTGCTGTGTGCCACCTCTGGCATGCATGCCATAGGTTCGCTATCATAGTCCTACAACATCTTCAATCTCCAAAGACCTATACAAGAGTCCTTTTTGTAGACTTCAGCTCAGCATTCAAAACCATTATTCCAGATAATTAATTAAATCAGCTAAACTTGTAAGTGGATCATAAGCTTTCTAACAGACAGGAAGTAGCAGGTGAAGCTAGGCAAAATCATTTCAGATACCTGTATAATTAGCACAGGGGGCGCCCAGGGCTGTGTGCTCCCTCCACTTCTCTCTCTATACCAATGACTGCATTTCAAAGGATCCTTCTATTAAAGTACTTAAATTTGCAAACAGTGATTGGTCTCATTCGAGATAATGATGAATCTGCATATAGACAGGAGGTTGAACAATTAGCCTTGTGGTGTGCTTGGAACTGAACACACCCCAAATTGTACAAATCACAGTAGATTTTAGGAGAAACCCTCCTATTCTATCACCTCTTACAATACTAGACAATACAGTATCTGTGGTGACACAGTGATTAGAATGCAGTACTGTAGTACTTCAGGGTACTTCTATTGAACTGCTAGTTGCCAGGAGTTCAGCAGTTCAATTCTCCCCCGCTCAAGGCTGATTCAGCCTTCCATTGTTCCGAGGTCAGTAAAATGAGGATTGTTGGGGGCAATATGCTGACTCTGTAAATCACTTAGAGAAGGCAATAAAGCACTGTGAATTGATATTTAATAGCCATTACTATTGCTATCAACAGTAGAGACCTTCAAGTTTCTAGATTCTATAATATCTCAAGACTTAAAATGGATACCTAACACAAAAGCATCATAAAAAAGCACAACAAAGAATGTTCTTCTTGTGCCAATCCAGAAAGTTCAGGATGCTCAAGGAGCTGCTGATATAGTTTTACAAAAGTATTATTGAGTCTGTCATCTGCACCTCTATAACTGTCTGGTTTAGCATTATGACCAAACAAGACAGAAACAGACTTTAGCAGGTAATTAGAACTGCAGAAAAAACCATTGCTACCATTCTGTCTTCCATTGAGAACCTGTAAAGCCAGAAAGACGACTGTGAAAATATCTACAGACCTCTTGCATCCTGGATATAAACTATTTCAACTTCTACCTCAAATTGATGTTATAGGGCATGTCAGAACAACTAGGCACATTTTTCCCCATGCTATCACTCTACTAAACATTTAATTCCACAACATTGTCAAACTATCTACTAAGGCTATATTATATTCTTCTTCTCATCTTTCCTATTGTCTATTACCGATTACCTATCTCCTTATATTCTTTTCACTATAACTTTGTTGCTTCTTTCTTATGAATTATTTTGTTTACTTAGTATCCTGGTATGATTTATGTTGATTGCTTATTTAGTACCCTACAATTATGACTAAGTGTTGTATCTTATGATTTATGATGAATGTATTTTTATGATGACTATGATTTATCACTTATTGCTTGCATGTACACTGAGAGATTATGCACCAGATACAAATTCCTTCTGTGTCCAATCACACTTGGCCAATAAAGAATTCTATTCTAAAACCTCCAGTATTGAAGCAAGTCATTTCACTGATTAATTGTTCTCATTATCAGGAAATTTCTCCTTAGTTCTAGATTGCTTGTCTCCTTGATTGGTTTCCATCCGTTGTTTCTTGTCTTTCCTGTAGGTGCTTTCAATAATAGATTGACTCCTCTTCTTTGTGTCAGCCTCTTAAATATTGGAACACTGCTATCATATCATCCCTTGTTCTTCTTTTTATTAAAGCAGACATAGCTAATTCCTTACAACTGTTCTTCGTATGTTTACGCGCAGAAAGGTTTTGAATCCAGTGCAAATGCGCCCAGCAGCTCATGAATAAATTTTGATTGTGTTTATTTTATCTGGAATTATTCCTTAATATGAAGTGCTGCCAATGAATTTCCCCAAATCCTTTTTCTATTTAAAAAAAAAAAACACTGCCAATGAGTTGCTAGAGTATTTGGCTATTTAAACAAAGTCTACGATAAGAATAGAAGGGGAGAGTAACAGATGTGAGAGGCAGAATGAAAGATAGCAGCATTGTAACCAGTAAAGAAAGTCACAGGAAAAAAGTCCTCATCTGTCCAGCTGCAAGAACCAGAATGGGAGGGGGTGAAGAGAAAATCTTTTATGAAAATGAAAATAATTGTGTATGTAGGATTTTGTGTAGTTTTAAAGGTCAAGGGAGCCTTAAAAGTTAGGAGTAAAAATGTAAAAACAAAATGGGGGGGGGGCAGTAACAGCCAAGCTTTATCTTTGATACTTCTGCTTTTGACTTGGATTCAGAACCATGATGCAATGGAATGTGGGAAACAGGCCAAACTTGAAACTTCTCAGCTGGGACAAGCAGGGACTTTTTATGGAAATGAATTGCTGTCTTTTGAAAAGATTTATGGGATAGTGCTGATCATAAAAGAGCTGGTCTTTCCCAGATACTTTACAGAAGATGACATTATAAGCATCCAATTAACTGGTAAGTCATTTGAAGTCATTTTCAGGTTGACTACAAAAGTTAGTTAGTCTGATCCTTCTCCTGGATCCTTCTCTGCTATTTAGATGTTGAGATACCTTCTTCAGAATAGAAAGATGGCTTTCGCATGTTGTCCATTTCACTTTAACTGTTAATTATTGATATTGGGAAAAGATATTGAGAATTTTTGATATTGGAAATATTTGCTTGACATTGTAAAATAATATGCAAGACAATGGAGAAATTGATTTGACACTAGAAATAGTATTGCTGTCTACTTAATATTGCAATAGTAGTACATTCTTCTCAAATGTATATACATTCAATTTTAAATTAGGAAATAAGTACTGATTCTAGCAATATTATTTTAAACAATATATCATCCTTCTGATGATGTAGTATTGTTCACACATTGTGGCTATTTCTTTCCTTTTACCTTGCACCTTTCCTGAATTTTCATTATTTTGTGCAGCTAGTGTATATACAACTTTGAGATGATTTTATTTTTAAAAAATACTCATAGCTGATGTTATCATGATAAGCTAATTCATTTATTTCATTGAGTAATTGAATCTGTAATTCTATGGACATATATGTAAAAGCATACCTCATTAAAATCAATGTTTCTTAATTTTTAAATTTGCATAGGATTATGATTTGTTTCCTTTTGTTATAAATATGCAAAAATGAAATTTCACTTATTTAAAATTTTGCCTCTCTATGTATTGGGAATGCTTCAAAGCATCTGTAAATATAGATTTTTCTGGGGGAAAAATCCTGCGGTCTTGCATGTGTTTAGAATGAAGTCTCAATAGAGTTAATAAATATATATTACAAATAATGATATATTACAACCTGAGTATAATAATAATCCATCTGAACAAAGAGTGATGCATGAAGAATTTGGTATTTGCAAAATCTGAAACAACATGATTGATTTGCCCCATGCTGCAAATGAATGGCCAAACCATTCATTATGCAATTATTATTTTTGCTTATTGAATTGTTTTAGATTTTGCAATGCTCTTTTCAGTTTTAGAAAATATCAAAATATGTTGAATGAGATGGATATAAAAATGGATATATTCACCTCAAATCCATAATTAAAATATATTCCAATATGAATAAACATATATTCATTTATACATTCAATGTATAAATATAAAATTATATATACTAGAATTATTTCTTTATTTTAAACATGTTCATTAATGAGAAATGAGATAGACCAGGATTAGGAATGCATGCATAAAACACCTGATAAAGATGATTCATGCATCTCTAGTTAACATAGTATTTTTTCTTTTACTCTGTTTTCGTATGGAAGTGCAAGCATTTGATTAAATATCAAACTCACAATAAAATGAACTGAGTTAGTAGAATGACTCATTCATGTCAGTGTTTAATCATCTTCATGGGGGGGAGGGGGGAGGGAAGGAAGGAAGGAAGATTTCTGATGATCCCTGCCAGTGACTTTTAATGAAACTAAATGAGGAAGCAGCCAGGAAGTCAGAAGTTGCCCCAATCCCACTGCTTTTTGCCCATTCCATTTATTTCTCTGTATAATTGGATTGAAATTGGATTTTTTTATTGGCTTTCTGCTTCAAAGAAAATCCAATTTCTGTTACACAATAAAAGCCCCGCACATCTGCAGGAGACTGCACTTCGATAATCAAGTAATGATTCTAAAGGGAACAATTATAGATGACTTTTAAATTAAAATATGCTTGTGTAAAACGCCTTGATATATAGTTTTTGAAGGGGGGGGAAGAATATTACAGATTAAGTAGGTCAAAAGAATGTTAAGATAAATATAGTTTAAACATAGCAAGATGGAGGGATATAGATGACATGTTTTATTGAATTGAATTATAGAAGTTCTATTTCTCCCATGTTGTCATAAATCTGTACAGGGTGAATTTGTGCGCAAGCAGAAGATCCTGTAACATTTCTCACAGATGGCAGTCCAGTCTCTTCTTGAAAGCTTCCAGTGATGAAGCTCCCACAACTTCTGAAAGCAAGTTGTTCCATTGGTTGATCGCTCTCACTGACAGAAAGTTTCTCCTCATTTCTGGGTGAATTCCCATCCATTATTCCTTGTCTGACCTTCAGGTACTTTTGAAAACAGGTTGACATCCTCTCTTTTTGCGACAGCCCCTCAAATATTGGAACACTGCTATCATGTCTCCCCTGGTCTTTCTCTTCACTAGACTAGCCATGTTCAGTTCCTGTAACTGTTCTTCATATGTTTCAGTCCGCTAACCATCTTTGTTGCTTTTCTCTGCACTTTCTAGATCTCAACCAGTGGTGAAATCTAAATTTTTTTGAGGCTGGTTCTGTGGGCATGGCTTGGGGAGGTCATGTGAGTGGGCGGGCATGGCCAACATTTTTTCACTTTTTAAAACATTTTTTTCCTGCCAGTTTGAGTGAAATTGCTTTAAAAAGTGGAGGGGGAAAGGTTCTGATGATCACGCAGCTCACAGCTGATCTGCACAACCGTTGGAAGCATTTTTTCCCACTTTTTAAAACATTTTTTCCTGCCTATTTGCCTGAACCAGCAGGGGAAAAAAGTGGGTGGGGGAATCTTCAGACAATTGCACGGATTAGCTGTGAGTCACGCAATCGTTGGAACCTCCCCCACCCTTTTTAAAGCATTTTTTCCTGCATATTCACCTGAACTGCAGGAAAAAATGCTTTAAAAAGTGGGGGGGGGGAACACTTCCAATGATCACATGTGGCTCACAGCTGAGCCGCCTGATCCTCGGAAGCTTTTTTTTATTACTGATTACAGAACCAGGGACAATCGTCCCTACCAAACCAGGCCAAACAGGAAGGGTTTCACCCCTGGTCTCAACCTTTTTTTTTATAGTATGGTAACCAAAACTGGATGCAGTATTCCATGTGTGGTATTACTAAGGCTTTGTAGAGTAGTAATAATAATTCACTTGATCTTAATTGAATCCCTCTATTAATACAACTTAGGATTGCATTGATTTTTTTTTTTGTGGCTGCCACATATTGTTGGCTCACATTTAACTGGTTGCCCAGTAAGACTCGAAGATCCCTCTCACAGTTACTGCTATTAAGCCTGATATCACCCAATCTATTTGGTAGTTTTCATTTTTTCTTGTCTAAGTGCAAAACTTTAGTTTTCTCTGCATTGAATTTTTAATGCCTTATTACCTTATTTATGTGGACCATGGGGTCGGGATGGATCGGACACGACTTTGCAACTAACAACAACCACCTTATTTACTTATTAGTACCTCTCACATTCCCTTGCTATAGGAAACCATTATGGGTGAACTATCCTTTCATGACTCTTGACATTTTTTAATATGTTTTATTGCTACATTTTTTTCTTTAAAAACATAAAAAATCCATGTCTATCTGAACAGTGTGTTTTCTAGGCATAATTAATTTTGAGAAAAGGTACAACAATAACTATAATCATACTAGTAATCTTAATAAACATATCACAACATGTTTAATTTAGTATCTGTTTCACTTAGCCTCTTGGTAAGGATAGATAAAGTAGGATCAGATATCATTATTGCTAAAGACAAATTTCCATAAGGTATAAAAGGGAGAAGGTTTGTTTAATAACTACTTGTAAGCGTTCCAAGTATCATGCAGAATTAAATCAGAGTCCAAGGCAAAACGATCCTTAAAGTTCCAATTTAATAAGCCAGACATCTTAGCACATCTGTGAAATCCCAATTCTGGAAGTTACATCGGATTCCCACCCAGTTGAAAGTTCATGATCTTGTCCCCACACCCACAAATCCATCACATGGTCTAATCTTCTTCCACGCTGGCATCTCCACTCAGCTGGTTCCGGTCAGGAGCAGAGATGCAGAGACAAAAGATTACCTTGAGCTTCTAGAAAAGAATGACAACAACACATTCCACAATTCTACTCCTTTCTATTCCCCACTTCCAACTACTAATGAACACTAATGAATGAAACACTACACTAATGAAACAGCATAATGAAATAAGAGAGAGTGTGGCAGGCCAAAGATCCTAAAAGGGATATAATTGCAGGCCTCACACTACTATTACTGCAATCAAAATAGTTGTAATGAGTTTTATACTCTTAAGTGATTGTCAAATCTTTTATCCAGTAGACCACAAATATTTCACTGAACAGTAAGCCACCTAATTGCTGCCATATTTTCAAATGCTTTCTTTCCTAGAATTAATTAAAATAAATAGGTTCTTCAAGAGAAGAGATTAAATTACATTTTTCTGGAGTTTATTTTTATTATTCTATTTGTTGGAAAGATTTATTATATTAAAAATCAGAAAACTGAAGGAAAGTTTTAAATGAATCAGAACATATTGTTCAGAAACAAAAAAAACTGTATTAGTTATGGACACTTCAAAGCCTTGTTTTCACTACATTGGACTATATGGCAGTTGGGGTAGGTAATTCATGGTTTACAGAAGTATATTGTATACTGCTTTTATGGGGGAGGGGGAGAGGATGGTCCAAATTTGCAAGATAGCAGGTGCATGATGCTGCACTTATCATAATGCACATTTTGCCCACCTACTGCAGATGATCTGGAAGTTTACCATTAAAGAAGCCAAACAATTGCTACTAGTGAAGATTATAATACTAGGGTAGTCTAAAATGACTGTTTTGATTCCAATTCTTATGCCTGTTTCATGTTAATTGGAACTAGCTTGCATTCTAGGATGTTCAACCATCAGATTCTTGGGAGTTTATTCTACTAAGTTCTGCCTGCCAAAAGGCATTCCATTCCTGTTCTCATATCAGGGACCAACCAAGCTATAAAAATAAAATAAAATCTTCCCTTTGATTTTATTTGTTTTATTAGTTTTGTATGCCGCCCACTCCCGGAGGACTCCGGGCGGATTTTGAAACTGAGGCAAGCTATCAACAATGTAGTCATTGGTTACTATTAAAGCTAATGTCATTGTTCCAAGTTTGGCAAGCAAAGGAAGAGACATTGAAAGCTAATTTGCAATGCAATGATTTTCAAAAGTGGTCTTACTCATCCTGGATGCTTTAGAATTATTGGTCATATTGATTCAGGAAACTAACCTAATTAAAATTCAATCAAGCAGGCATCATGCTAGGGACCAATATTAGAAGGCTTTGGTTAGATGAAAGAAATATTTAATTTGAAGATATAAGATGACATTATTGTTGATATTGTCATTGTTACTTTGTTCTTATTTGTATTTCTAGATTTATTCACTGATCAACTATTACAATCTGAAAATGCTTCTGACTTTGTTCCTTGTTATCCTTGGGACCCAGGCTTCTAAAACACAGCAACCTGGTATTTTATTTTCCTTTTGGAAATTCATCATAACTTGTTAATGCAGCTTGTCCTGTATTTGTATTAGTCAATTACATGGCACAGTTTTTTGCAGCAGATGGGTGGTGTTGGTTAAAAATTAAAAATATTATTAAAAACATTGAATGACTTTGACATTGTTACTTTCTTTGTCAAAATGCATAGGTTTGATTTTGAGTGAGAAAAGTTTTAGGCAAGTAGAAAAACAAAAAAGCCTCAATTGTATATTAAGTAAATTGGGCCAAACTGTGAGGATGGGAGAATATGGATTATATATGATGATTTATGAAAATGTTTATATTGCTCTTTAATTGCACCCATGCAGTTTACAATAATTTAGGCAGTTGGTTTGAGCTTGGCAGTTTGCTTGCAAACATTTCATCATCATTCAAGGAGACATCATCAGTGCATTTTGAATTGTGCTCATTTGTCAGAATACAGGTCTTTAAATACCTTTTTATGAGATGCAAATTAGTTTGAATACTGTTTGTTGGAATATTTCTGAGTCTCTGCGTGTTTTATTTAGACCATATTCAGAAATATCCAAATGAACAACATTCAGATTAATTTACATCTCATAAAATGGTATTTTTGGTACTGTCCATGGGTTTTTACCAAAAATACATATTTATGAGATACAAATTAGTCTGAATGTTGTTTGTTGTACTAAAAAGCAGAGGCATCACCCTGCCAACAAAAGTGCATGTAGTCAAGGCTATGGTTTTTCCAGTTGCAATGTATAGCTGTGAAAGTTGGACCATAATGAAGGCTGAGCACCAAAGAATTGAGGCCTTTGAACTATGGTGCTGGAGAAGACTCCTGCAAGTTCTTTGAACTGCAAGATTATCAAACCGGTCAGTCCTAGAGGAGATCAACCCTGACTGCTCTTTAGAAGGCCAAATCCTGAAGATGAAATTCACCTAATGAGAAGGAAGTACTCACTGGAGAAGAGCCTAGTGCTGGGAACAATTGAGGGCAAAGGAAGAAGGGAATGATAGAGAATGAGGTTGCTGGATGGAGTCACTGAAGCAGTTGGTGTGAATTTAAATGGACTCAGGGGGATGGTAGAGGACAGGAAGGCCTGAAGGAATGTTTTCCATAGGATTGCGATGGGTTGGACACGACTTTGCGACTACGAACAACAAAAAAGGTATTTAAAGGCCAGAGTTCTGACAGACAAGCACAATTCAAAAAGGCACTGATGATGTCTCCTTGGATGTTGACAAAATGTTTGCAACCAAATTGCCAAGTTTGGAATGCAAACCAATAGCCTAACTACCACCCCAAGCTACTAATATTCAAACACATTTACAATAATGTTTTATACATTAACTCTTGTTTTGTTTTTGATGTAGCCTCTGAATCTGTAGATGTTGTCCTTCTGATTGACAGCTCTAATACCCTCGGCAGACAAGGTTTTCTCTCATTAAAAAATAATGTGAATAGAATGATCAGCAATCTTCCAATAGGGCCAAATAAATATCGCCTTGCACTTGTTCAATACAGTGATGATATCCATGTTGAATTCCAGCTGGATAACTTCAGAGGAAAAAACCCTATGCTGAACCATATTAAAAAGATATTTTCATTCCGGGGTGGCCCTTTAAGGACTGGGAATGCCCTACAAAAGATCCACAAGACTATTTTTAAGGCACCAAGAAGAGACAGACACCAGGTTTTGATCGTTACAACTTCAGGAGTATCACAAGATGATGTGGAAGGACCTGCCACATTAATGAGAGAAGATGGGATAAAAATAATTGCTTTAGGAATGCCGAATGCATCTGAGCAAGACCTACAGTCAATGGCCACACATCCATTCAGTTACCATTTTGATACACTAAAAGATCTGCAAAAGTTTTCCTCAAATATATTGTCTGTCATTGAATCAGCTGTAACAATAGATGAGAGCTTAGTCATCTCCACAACTAACCCACCAAGTACAACTTTTGCTCATAGCATACCCATAAAAGGTAAAAGAAATAATGCAGCACATTATCACTAATATTATTAGATTAACCATGAAGGTTTGGGATGGATTTTAAAACATAAGTTGGAGCGTCCTGGAACAATTTATATTTAAATTTTTAAAAATCCCTGTCTGGGCTTTTGTAGGAGAAATCGTAGACCTCCAAAACCTACTTTGAAGTTTACTTCATAGTTTATCCATGCATGTCCAATTGAACAGTTGCTATATTGTATGCAGTATTTGAGAACATATGTAACATATAGATTAAAATGTACTAATTTTTTGCCAAATTGTAGCTCCTAATGAAAGGATTTGTATTCATTGAGAAAAGGATATCATGCAAATTTATCATTTGAGAGAATTTTTGGCCTGCAGTGTTGGAAAAGCACAATTTTGAAGAACCCAAGTGGTCTTCTACTCCTAGAATTCTCCAGCCAGTCTGAGAAACACTGGTATATAGCACAAATGTATTATTCATCTCATGCCATTCTGAAATTGGAGCTCCTACAACATTACCTGGGAGGGAAGGATGCTTTTTTCTTCTTCCATTTCCTTAGGGGAGATTAAGTAAATGACTTGCCATTGCAGGTATCTAGGATCCATGATTCCTAAATAAATCCCCAGAACAGAATAATGATGTAGGATTGAACGGCCTACAGAGGAAGATTTTCTTTCTTTTTTAATACTGAACTTCTTCCTCTAAATTTAGTCTTTCTAATAGGAGAGAAGGTAGAATCTTTAAACAATTCTATTTTGCTAATTGCTTTCAATACGTCCTACATGTACATTTTGTGAAAGGATCATTTTGCAAATAGTCATGTTCCAGGGCAGAGCTGTTAATTTTTTCCCCTTGCATCATAGTCACAAAAACCTCCCTTAGGATGATTCCCTAAGGCTGGAATACAGTATCAGGAATTTTATTTTTCTCCATTATTTTCATTTACACAACCCTCATCCATTTCACTGAATTATATTATTCTTCCCTAGGCTCCTACCTGCACTTTTTCTAGCCCAAGGATCTGTTTTTCATATCCTACTTTTCACTTCAGTCATGATCAGGAGTAGACAATCCCTAGAATCACATTATTATTTTCCTGGGATAGCCCACTCTTAGGGGACAAATTAAGGAATGGGAGACTATGTTGTACATATTCTTATAAAATAACTGCTGTAGGAGATTTAGTGCAAGAAAACTACTATAATGGATATGTCTGGTCGCTTTTCTAAAAGCACATTTGTGGAAGGTACTTTAGTTGTTCAGAAATATTTCTTAGTTTTGCTTTATGGTTCACATCTAAAGACAAAGAATTGGACTACAGATACTCTAAATTTTTATTTTCTAATGTGAATAGAATAGAATAGAATGAGCTGGAAAAGACCTTCAAGGTCTTCTAGTGCAGCCCCCTGCCCAAGCAGGAGAACCTATACTATTTCAGATAATTAACTAGTAGTCTCTTCTTAAAACCTCCAGTGACAGAGCACCTACATTTCTAAAGGTAAGCTGTTCCACTGGTTAATTGTCCTCACTGTTAGGAAGTTTCTCCTTAATTTCAGGGTGCTTCTCGCTTTGGTTGGTTTCCAACCATTGTTTCTTGACCTGCCCTCTGGTGCGTTGTAGAATAATTTGACCCTCTCTTATTTGTGTTCAAAGAGTATCCACACAAAACCTATAGGAATTTCTGGTTAAAAATATGCTTGCTAGCATTTTTTAAAATTAAAAAGAAATTTTAATATATTGGTGAGAGACTCTGGCAAATGCCAAGTGGAAAGCCTGCAAAAAAGAAAGAAATCATTAAGAAAAGAGAGTTAATAATATGGTGTGTTCTTTTTTTTTTGTTGTTGCAGTTGCGGATTGTTCTGATGATTTAATTGCAGATGTTGTGTTTGTGGTCGATGAAGTCGTTTCACCTACAAATAGTGAATATATTGTATCTTTCTTACAAAACACAGCAACCTCTCTTGATGTGCAGAAAAGCTGCGTCAGAATTGGTCTAGTGACATACAGCAATGAGCCTCGTGTACTTTCTCAACTTAACACAGAAACAGAGATAAACAATCTTGTATTTAAGATCAAGAGCTTTTCTCCCAGGGAAGGAAAAGCCAAATTAGGTGCTGCCTTGAACTTTACCAGAGAAATAATTTTTACTGAAAGTGCTGGAAGCAGAAAGACAGAAGGTGTGGAACAAATAGCTACCATCATCACCCACAGATCCTCTGAGGATAGTGTAACTGAAGCATCAAGTCTCCTTTTGCAGAAGGGTGTGACGGTATTTGCCATAAGCATTGAAGGGGCTAATATCACACAGTTAGGGGGAGTAGTATCCTATCCCCCAAATAGAAATATTATAAAAGTTGACCATTTTTCAAACCTCACAGATAAGTCTAAAATTTTTAAGGAAAAACTGTTTGAGCACATTCATTTGTTTTTTGCCCAAGCCGAAAGAACAAAAGAATTCCGATCAGGTAATATCATTGATGAAATGCACGTCATCTAGTTAAATCAGCTGAAAATATTTGAATACTTGTTTTGCTTTGTCTTGTTTTTAAACCACCCAACTCTATCACTTGCCTTTTCTCTCATGTTTTTGACACATTCTGACAAATCAGTCTCCATTGCAGTTGGGTGAGTAAAATTCAAATAAATTTTGAGAGCCAGTTTGTTTAGAGCATTAGGCTAGAAAGTGGAAGATATTGAGTGCAAGCTTCATCTTGAACTGGGTGATTTTGGGCCAATCACTCTCTGAGCACTCCAATCTTTTATTTTTATTATCTGCTATTGATTATCTCGATGTAAGATATTTTCATTTACATTATTTTCAGTTTTGCTTTTAATTTTTTATTGTGCATTATTAAATTGTAAATCATAAAAATGTTTTTGATTACAATGAGATTCAAAAGCAATAATAAATGAATAAATAATGCCAGTAGTATGAGATCCCAAATATGAAGTTCTACTTGAAATCTTAATAATAATGCTCATATCCTTCAGAGATATCATTTAACTGCTTTTTCTGGCATTCCTTCTGACCTGCAAATTCCAATGTAGTGAATAGGGTGCTCTCTCATGTGACTCCACTACTTATGGTTGACGCATGCCTTTCCTAGCTCCTTCAGGGGTCTGCAGTGTGTTTGACCAAGTGATTTGAGAGGAAGAATGCATGCCATGAGATCCTATTAGACTTCTCAGCAGCTTTTGATGTCATTGAGTATAATATCCTTCTGGACTATCTACAAAATTTGGAGACCGAGGAAAACTATTTTGCAGAGACTTTGCAAATCCTCCTCAATGCAGAATTTCAATTAGTCATTGTGGAGGAGAATAAGTTATTTACCTGCCTCTGACCTGTCTAAAATTTATTTGTTTGTTCAGGATGCATGGAAACAGAAAAGGCTGATATTTACTTTCTCGTTGATGGTTCATCAAGCATCAGCCCCTCCGATTTTATTAAGATGAAGACATTCCTAAAGGAAGTAATTAAGATATTTACCATAGGACGTAATCATGTTCGATTTGGAGTTGTTCAGTTTGCAACTGTTTATAAAAAAGAATTTGAACTTGATGAGTATACAAAAATCAGCCATGTAGAAAAAGCCATTAATAATATAATCCAAAGGGGAGGAGATACGTATACTGGAGCTGCTATACGGTCTATGCAGCTATTATTTGAAAAGGCAAAAAACCAGCGAGAGGGCAAAGTTCCTTCTTATCTCATTGTACTGACAGATGGAAAAGCACATGATAATGTGCTGGAACCTTCTAAAATGCTAAGAAAATCAGCTGTCAATATTTATGCTATTGGTGTGAAACCTGCTAATATTACACAGTTAAATGAGATTGCAGACTCAAAATCAAAGGTTTACTATGCGGAACAGTTTGAATCCTTGAAAAATATAAAAAATAAAATTGTTCAAGACATATGTTCTGAAAAAGGTAAGAAGCATCCACTAGTTCTTTAAATGAAATATGATATGTTCTGTTATGTAGAGTCTTTGGTGCTTTCTAAACTTGACTGTTTGCTTGCAGACATTTCATTTCCTGATTAGGTAACATCATCAGTACTAGTGAGTGTAAACTATTTCATAGTTTGTCCTGTGTTGTTGAAACTGTATGATTATGTCTGTTCATATGTTGTGAAATGAAGGAATTTCCATTGTGTTTCTGATTGCTAGTTGATGTTCATGAATTCACTCTGCTAGTCTTCTGCCTATTTGCCCTACATAATGACTTACTATATGTTGTAAATGACCGTTAACTCTATAGATAGCAGAGAGATATTTTCTATTGAGCACTTGAACTGCAGTGGTCCAGACTTGTTAGAAGATGCTGCATTTGTGAAGGCTTTCTTCCCCTCCAAATACACTGCTGTTATCCCTTTCCCCAGTTGAACTCTGAAATAGGAAGATCAGCTAAACAAAATAAACTATAACAGCTATAAATTACTCCATTTTAACTGGATGAACTTTTGTTGACTTCAGTATTTTAAACTTTCAATGTCTGATTAGAAAGGGAACATAAGTGCTGAGCAAAATCAGTCCCATTATAATTTAGACTGGCAGCTGATATTAATTTAGTGTTATAAACCCAGACAGATGATCTTTGAAAAATTTCTGTTTTATTTTATGTAATGTAAATATTATGTTTACATTACAAATTTTTGAAGAGGTTTAAGGTGACCTTTTAGGATGACTGAGGATGGCATTCTTCTGCATTCCACTTTGATTAACTGATTTGCTGTTGTAAATATTTCTCAAAAGAAAGCAATGCAAACCATTTCTGCAGCATTGCAAGAAACTGGGATAATTGTATTTGCCAGGAAATAATTCAAAAGATTACATCTAGATCTATATACAATAACGCCAATGCTAAAATAGGCATTCCTGACATGATCAAATAATATTACAAAATAGCTGTAGAAATATAAGAATGAAAAGGCCTGAAGTTATCTAAAGTATTTTAACTGATACTGAAAATATAATGAAATATGCTTCAAACATACTGCTAAGAAATGAATTTCATTCCATATTTGGATATTGTTAAAAAGGCAGGTTTTCATGTAAACATAGCTTCTGATGTGGATTTCAGGACTTATTTGGTGAGAAATAAATAAGAAGCAATGTTCCTGAAACTTGCTTTTCTTTTCTACTAGATTCATAGAAATACAGTGGTTTAACCCAAATAATTATTCTTTTTCCCATGTAGCCTGTGAGAAAATGAAAGCTGATGTCATGTTCTTAGTGGACAGCTCTGGAAGTATAAGCGATCAGGATTTTGAGAAGATGAAGAAGTTCATGCAAGAATTGGTAGATAAGTGCAGTGTTGGTCTAGATGAAGTACAATTTGGTGTTGTTCAGTTCAGTAGCACCAATAAAGAAGAGTTCCAACTCAACTCATCAAAAGATTACATTATTAATGCTATTGGGAACATGGCTCAAATGCAACAGAACACTTATACTGGAAACGCTCTGCAATTTGTTTCTGATTATTTCAAACCAGCAAAAAAAGCACGGCCTTCTGTCAACAAAATTCTTATCCTCCTCACAGATGGGGAAGCACACGATGATGTAAGAAAACCAGCCAGTGCTCTAAGAAAAGAAGGTGTCATTATCTATTCCATTGGGATTATTGGTGCCAATGGTACACAATTACTAGAGATCAGTGGGACAGCTAAAAATATGTTTTACTTGACAGATTATGATAGTCTAAAATACATAGAGAAAGACATCATGTTTCACATATGCAGTCCATATAAAGGTTAGTATTCAGTCTTTTGCTCTTGGGCGTTTATATGAGTGACTACTTGTCTAGGTGAATAAAAATAATATAGGCCTAAATTTCTGAAGAAAATGAAAATGATACTGTAAAAAGCATAGAATTTAGTATGAGATTTGCTTTAAGAGTGGACAAAATGTCGTAGGTATACTTGCCAGATTTTGTGAAAATACTATCTTAAAATGATGATTTCCTGGGATCAAAGATCACAAGATCAAAATACACTTTTTTAAAAAGTGTTTTGGAATAAGGATAATATGTCCTTAAAAAAGGAAGGCCAGTTTGATTTAGTGATTAAGGCATAAGACCAGAAACCAGGAAATTTCTAATCCCATTTTAGGCCAAACAAAAAACCAGCTAGATGACTTTGGCCATTCATTCTGTCTCAGAGAACATCAGGCTCGGAATCAAGCTAGTAGATTAATTCCCATCACAACACAACGGATCAACACGTTGATCTAGGAAAAGAAACCCAGACCCTGCACTTGAGAAAAATATTACATCCACTTCTGATCCACTTCTGAAGTTAAATGGATTTAGGGCTTCATTTTGACCAATTGCTAAAATATTCCATTCAGTCATAAAATTCATTGAACCCCTCTGCATTTTTCTGGCAATTTGAAATTTGTGATGTAAGGAAAGAGATAAACAATTGAGTACTTATGAATTGAATATAGTAATAATGTTTCTTTAACTCAATGTGATTTAATGTGAATTTAATTTACATTACATTACATTAATTAAATTAAATCAACATATTAAATGATGTCTATTTTTTATTCACACTCATTTTTTGATACTACAACATCTATATATTCTTGCTGAAGTCAAGAATTGGTAGATGTAAGAAGATTTTTTCCTCACATACATAATTTGAATCAGGTTTCTTTTTTCCTCTGATATCCTTCCCCTTGTAAATCTCAGGATTTACTTAACTTTGATGTTAAAAAAATGGAAGCTTTTGGTTAGATTATTTTTCTAAGATTAAGTGGGGATGTGGCAATGATTACCGTATTTTCAGAATATAAGATGCACACCCCCCCCCTAAAACATGCATGTGTTTAAGATGCATGTTGGTGCATCTTAAACACTGAACACAGCCATTTTTGGCCTCCAGAAACCCCACCCCGTGCATCCCATTTCTCTTGAGGTATGATCCACATGCAATTCCTTCATGGAGAGCAGATTGAGCCTCTTCCCTTCTTCCACCCCGCCCCCATTTGCCCGGATCTGTTATGCAGCAAAGAGATACAGTAGCTGGGTGCAATAGCATCAACAGCAATAAGCACTGCATGACAGATCAGGGAGGACGGTGGGAATGAAGGAAGGGAAGAGGACCAATCTGCTCTCCACGAAGGCTTTTCTCAGAATGCTGGATCTCCACTTTCTCTCCGGAAAAAACTATTGGCATCATCAGGATCTTGGCTAGTGAAAGAACTGTGCAATGAAAAGGACATTTCGGAATATAGGAGTTCTGGGTCGGGAATCTCCCTGCAGCCTGGCACGTGCTTTTGCCCTGAGACTAAGTAAGGGGGGTTGTGAAGAGGGCTGTGAACAAGCCCGGTTGTTCAAGGAGGCAGCCTTACTGGGGTGTATATTTTGGGCTTCCCTTTCACCATTCAGGCACCACTGTGAGGACCGTTAATCCAAATGGAAGGGATCCCCACCCCATGGGCTATTATTCCTGGTTGAGCACAATGACAGTGGCGGCCATTCAGCAGCTGCACATGTCTTTCCCTCCTCGCTTAAGAGAAGAAGCGAGCCAACTGCCACTCCTTGGGGGAAGCAGCTCCATGTCACCGCTGGTCAGAGGGAAGGGGAAAAAATAAAGTGCAAGGAGAGATGTTTAGTGTTGCCCTGCTGCGGAAGGGGTAGAGAAAAGCAGATTTGAGATTGATAAAAAGTCTTACCCTTTAGGAAGATCGAGCTCATCCGGAGTTTTGGAAAGCCCACAGCACAGTGCAGCAGCTTCTCCCTGCCCCCCCTCTTTCCCCCAGCCTTTATAATCATAGCACAAACCCCCCCTGAATGAAAATCATCCTGCATCAGCAATTTAGGGAGCCTGCCTTTAACCCTTTGCTCAAGGTTGAGCCTTCCAAGTCCAGGTGGTCGAGGACATTCACCATGTGACAAATGGAAGTTCTCTAGGTCAGGTAGAAGTTCCTTTTTAGCTGCAGCTTGGGATCGGCCTATTTTTCACCTCCCAACCCCCCTCCCCAACGCTTCATGTTTTTGTCCTCCCTGGTCCCCAGGAGCACTTTGCATGCCTCCCAAACTTTCTGCATGCCCCATTTTTCACAAAAAAATAGGGCATGGAGAGGATTTGGGAAGCTTGCGGAATGCTCCTGGGGGCCTGGGAGGGCAAAAACTTTTTAAAAAATTTACCTCTTCAAAATCTTGGTGTGTCTTATACTCCGGTACACTACCCAAAGGAAAGGAGTTTGGGTAGAACCATGGTGGGGCAAAGATTAGAATGCAGAACTGCAGGCTACTTCTGCCGACTGCAGATTGCCAGCAATTTGGCAGTTCAATTTTCACCAGCTCAGGTTTGATTCAGCTTTCCATCCTTCCAAGGTCAGTAAAATGACCCAAATTGTTAAGGGCACTAGGCTGACTCTGTATATGGGTTAGAGTGGCTGTAAAGCAATGTGAAGTGATATATAAGTCTAATTGTTATTGCTATTCATGAAGACTATTGCAGCAGTTTCAAGAATCCAAAGCTGGCATGCCAGCTGCACATTTGGGCTAAAAAAAATCAATGACAACAATGCTGACCACTGTGAATATACAGTTTCTGCCAATTTCCAGGGGCAAACCAATATGTATGCTGAATTATCCAAAGTTGGGCTGATCAAATACTAGGACTTTGCTAGGCTGAAAGCAAATAATTTGATTATGTCTAATTTGTAACCAAATCCTGATATTAACTACTTTTGTTTTTCTCTCTCCATTAAGTATATAAGTGGAACATTATTTTATTGATTCATATTGATTCTCATATCCTAGCATGTTTTTCATGTTATTATTTACTGGATTTAAATATCAGTATGTCAATTGTTTTAAAATTTCAATATATTTTTGAATATTGAATTATTCATATATTTGTTCATTTAGGAATACCAATATCTATCTGTATGGTACAATTTTAAAGGATAAATATATATTTCTTTACCCTCTCTCCTGTAAATTTATTGTTTAAAACCCCAAAATCATAATTAAAAATGATTCAATTAAAAATAATTTAAAAATTAATAATCATAGTAATTACTTTTCGGAGTATAAGATGCACCTTTTTCCCTCAAAAAGAGGCTGAAAATCTGGGTGCATCTTATACACTGAATACAGCATTCTTTTGCCTCCCAAAACCACACCCCTTCATCAAAATGGTTGTGCATAACTTGTAGGAGGCGTTCAGAGAGCTCCTTGGGGTTGGGGAGGGCAGACATGAGCAAAAAATGGGCTGGTTTTTGTTCATTTTTGCCCCCCCCCCCCCAATCAGGAACACGCCATTATTGCATAAATACCAAGAGTGGATGGAACAAGTCTACATCTCCTTGCTACTTTCATTACCTGGGATTGCAAAGCAATGCTTAAAATCCGATGGATGATGTCTTGTGCCACAAATTAATCTTAATGAGCATCTTGTTCATTATTCTAACAAACTTAACATTATTCATTATGCTCTGTCCTGGGATTGATTTAATCTGCCATATGCTAACCTTTACCTTTCTTGCATCCATCCATTGTTGGATTCCTACCGGTTCGGACTGGTTCGGCGAAACAGGCAGTGGTTTGGCCACCTGGGTTGCTGGAACAGGCAGCGACCCAGGCCTGCCATGCCCCTGAACCAGTTCTCCAGGCTGTGCCATAGGTGCCACCATATTGTTTTTCACTTCTGAGCATGTTCAGAGCAATATTAATTGCACTGTGCATTAATGCAGCCCATACACAAGCAAACCGGCAGTAGTGCCTGCCAGAACCCACCACTGAATCCATCTAATAAATATCTAATTTATGCTGCTTTCTCCAATGGCTTTCACAAGCCATTCCCTCTCCATATTAGACAGTTTATCCACCATTTGATAATTATCATGCAGTATTGCAGTCTCCAAGTAAAGAGGTAAAGACAACTTTTATTTACCTTCTCTTTGGATTAGATTGTGAATCAATAATTAGAAGAACAGATTCAGCCAGATATGAATGTACATGGAACCAAAACTTCTATTAAGAATGCTTAGGGGCTCACAGTATTTGACAAATTCAAAAAAGGCCATAATATATCAATCAATTTAAAATGAACACTACTTTAACCTTTTGGAAAATTATAGTTTAAAAATGGATTAAAACAAATCCTGCTTAATATTTCAGGGAGCAAATTTATATTTTTTAATGTGGCAAGGGAGAGAAGTTAGCCTTGTCTTCTTCTTAAGAAAAAGCAATAATAGGGCAAAAGAACTGGATTAGGGAACAATGTAGCAGGTGGTACAAGCTTTCCTATTACTTAATCTCAGCAATGTACTTTGTGCTCATAATAGCAGATGCTGTTGAAAACTTCTTTGCAGTGATCTTGTAATACAAATGTTCATGCCATTCTTATAGTGGCATTTAATTTTTAAACTGTATCAAAAATTGATTGATAAACATAACAATATAACAGAATTTTCCAATTATCCCTAGTCTAGATACCATTTTCTTAAAAAATAGAATTGAAGAAAATATGATTAAAGTATTGCTGCAGATTGTGCACATTCATTCCAATAATAAGGAAATAACTTTTTCAAAGCTATTTCAAATCAAATACCCATACTATCAGTGAGAAAATTTCAGATGATAGTTATCTTAACCATTTCAGTAAAAATGCATGTAGAACTGCTTGTTAACTTTAATTATAAAACAATTAGATTCATTTTCAAATAAATGAAACATTAGCACATCAGCAAGGTAACCTATTTATAATAAATATAGCATTAATGAAAATTCATACACTTTTTATTTGTAAAGGAATATGAATGTAGGCATAAAGATATATGACAATATAAATACTTTGTAAATGATACCTTTATCTTTTCTTGTTTTCTTTCCAGCGTGCCAAAGGATAACCCGTTTAGATCTGGTTTTTGTAATTGATAGTTCTAGCAGTATTGGTGAAACTAACTATGCTCTCATAAGTAACTTCATAATTGGCATTGTAAATAAGTCTGTTGTAGGTGAAGAACATGTTCAGTTTGGAGCAGTAAAGTATTCCGATAATCCAGAAATTATGTTCAAGCTGAATACTTACAGTAAAAGATCAGATATCATTAAATTTATTCAGGACAACAACACACTTTTAGAGGGACGTACATATACAGCAAAGGCTCTTCAGTTCTCAAAAGATCTTTTAACTAAAGAGAATGGCAGCCGCATACACCATGGTGTCCCTCAAGTTCTTATGGTCATAACTGATGGAGTATCTCATGATAAGGCAATTCTGAATAGCACTTCAAATGAACTCAGAAAGAAAGGAACTATTATTTATGCCATTGGAATAAAAGACGCAAATCCTGAGGAACTTGCAATCATGGCTGGATCAGAAGACTATTGGTTCTACATGCCATCATTTGAGGGACTAGAAAAAATAACCACGAACCTGTCAAATCAATTGTGCACTGATTCAAAACCAGGTAATATATTACCTATTTTTTCCTACTATATGTGATGCTTTTCCACCAAGAATAAGTGATTAATTTAATTTAAATAATTTAATTAGCTGCCCATCTTGAAACTCTGAGTGGCTTAAAACCAATAAAACAGTATAAAAGTATGTAAACCGTATGTAAACCAACACAATAAAAATAAAAACAGAAAAATCTGGCACTGTGACCTTACTTTTTTAATGCACCCACATTCTCATTCTATCTGGCCTCACCCTATCCCATTGCCTAGAAAAAGAGCCAGGATTTATGTGCTCTCTGGAAAGATAGAGGGATAGTGCATGTTGGATCTCGAAGTGGGGGGATGTTCTATGGGGCAGGCCTGCAGTAGAAAAGGCATGTTTCCAAGTTCCCATAAGATATCAGTATTTAAAGGAAGGGATCTACCCATTCTGGTGGATTGGGTAGAGAAAGGCAGTCCTGCCGATTCCACGTAGGACTTTTAAAGTAATAAGTAGCACTGACTTGTACCCAGAAGAAAAATGGGAGGCATTGCATCTTATAGGTGAATCTAGGAACACACAACACTCCATGTATCCCTACATTCTGGACAAATTGTAACTTCCACGTCATATTCAATGGCAGTGGTATGTAGTGCATTAGATTTCTATATTTATCCATAAAATTAATGGCTGACAGCAGACAAATGGGGCCTTAAACTTTTTTAAAAAAAATATTTTTAGTTGACATTTTCCAAACATTAAAATCACAATTATACTTTTACAACTTTCTGTTATCAGTATTTCTTTTTTCTGGTTTCCAGTTTTCCATTTTCCATTCTATTATATATTCTTCTTTGTTTCATACTTTCTCATTTTTACAATATATACATTTATATACAATATTTCCATCTCTATTGCTTTCTAA